GTTGCCTGTCTACCTGGTTCTTCTCTCTCTCTTCATTGAAAATAAAGTTGAAAGGTTGTACAACATTTGACCCAATTTAGTCTTAATCTCGTCCTTGGGATTGTAACAAAACCTCCCCGACACTGGATCGGGACAGAGGCTCCTGAAGACATTCTAGGAGAAAGAGAAGCACATTGAGAATACATATTAAGGCGACGCAGAATTTTAAATTAATGTACATTACCTGAGTAGAGAATGGATTTTTTGCTTCTGTATCCATCGCAAAGAGTTTCTCCACTAGTTCCAGTTTGAATTCATTAGCCATATCGTTATCCACATCAAAGCAGTAGTCGTTGGGACTACTGGGCTGTGAAAACAATTTGAGTGCAGTTTTAAGTTTCTGTCGTTACATCACTTTGCATTGCATCTACAGATTCTCTGAAAAATGTTCTAACGTAAAAACTAATTCCAAGCTACAGCTGCACAAAATGGGAAAGGAAAACACTTAGATTTATTGGTATACATTCAAGTTTACCGCATGGTAAGTTGGAACCTGGAAGCAGCCTCTACAGTAATTTATTGCAACTAATTTGCTGTTTACAGAAGTTGTCTCTGAACCATTCTTTTCTAGGAAGACCAATCCCAAGCTCTTCTTATTTCTGTCAGGTGGTAGGTATTGCATGCATTTGCAAAACTCCCTTTAACGAAAAGGTAATTCTCAGTATGAAAATTTATCTTTTTCCTCAGATCGTGGCATGAGCTTAATGAAGTCACAACTTAGAAATAATTTTCAGTTCCTGTCTCAGCTGCATCCTTAGGCAGATTTGCCCCGCAAGCCCCAACAGCACATACGTATTAATGACAGTATCCAAATTGCGTAACTAACCTCAGGTGAGCTTTGGCTGGTACTTGCATCAGAAGGGCTGGTTGGTTGCTCTTGCACCTGAGGCATGGTAAAAGAAAGTTCGAGTGGCTCTGCATTTGGCTCCAGCTTTAATACAACTTCTCTATTGAGTGCAGGATCAGCATTGCTACGAAGTGGCTTTGTAGTTTCAGAGGCAGGCAGTGGGGACATTGCCATATTTATATTCTGCAATTTCTCACTGGATGAGGGGAGCATTACATCGTTATACAAAGGAACTTCATCACATTGTTGTTCATCAGACTCTATAAAAATTAAAAGAAACCATCAACCTAAGTAACGATACTGAGTGTGTCTACGGACCTCATTAAATTTAAACAGTGGCTGAAATACCACTAGGCAAGTGATATTGGGAGGTTATTTTTCAAAATTTACTGTAAAATACTAACTTCACTAATTAGCATGCTCTCCAATTTAAACACACCCACCATTACTGCTGAAATCTAGGGAGATAATTGTGTCTCCAGCAGCAGGGGCCAGCACAGTTAAAGCATCTGGTTCCTGTTTAAGTTTTTCAAAAAGGCTGTTGGAATCATCCAGGTCATCTTTGCTGAATATTTTGGTGATTTTCATATCAGGAGACTCCACTGGTTTCAGCATACACTCAGTTTGTCCAAGGGAAAAAATCAAGTCCTTCTGAACAATTCCACTGTCAGACAGAGAGGAAGATGACTGTTAAAGAACAGCTAAAAGGAGTAAATTCAGGCTCGACAGTTTTGTAAGTTGTGAAGTGATTAAAAAAACAAACCACAAAACCACTACACACACCACAACACAAAATTACCAGGATGGGAGCTTTAAGAAGTCTTTTTTTCTTACTCATTCTTTCCTCAAATGTAATAGATAAAGCAAGCACTAACTCTGGTGCCACCAAAAAAAGGTACCAAAAATAAATATGCTTTTCTGAACACACAGAGAAAGAAAGAAAAAAAGAAAAAAGTTAGGTATTCCCTAAAACACTTTTCTTTGTTTTAAATGAATGTACTGCATGTTGATGGGCTGATACTGGTACGTTCGCTAAAGTTTTGAAAAACTGATTTAGGACTATTATACAGTTGCAGAAAAACAGTCAACAAGTCTGCCTTCAGTTGAAGCTTTCAATTAGAAGAGGAATTCTAAGGAAAAAAAAAAGATAAATGGGATTAAGACAGACACCCTTAACTGCTGCTCTGACTCCATGGCTAGAAGTTATTAGTGAAATTAACTGTTCCAGACTACGGACAAAGATTAGAGTGCTGTCTAGAATGCACATAAATTCTCAAATGCCTCCATCGTGGCAGTTCAGAAGAGGCTGGCCCCATACCCTTTTACCTGCAAGAGATCTTCCCACTGACATTACTAAATCAAAAAAGTGTTTTGTTATCAAATACAATTCCTAATCCTAGGACCGGCAGTATTCCAAGCAAAAATTTCACTGGTAGGAAACATCACAACATATTCAACAGGGGACCACATTCTCAGTTGGAAAAAAAAAAAAAGGACATAGTGCCATCAGTAGCTGACTTCATCTTCAGTAAAAATGATGACAAAGAACAATGATGTCCACTCAACTTACCTCAACACATAGTTTACGCACACTATGCACTGTGGCTGAGAATTCTTAGTGTTGTATATAACTGTTGCTTGAGTTTCAACCCAGACATAGCCACCTTGTTTAGCAAGCATTCTGTACTGTCCTGTTGTCACCTGCCCTTTTGTGAACACTAAAAGCAGAAAGGACACCAGCTTTAATTACAGGCAGAAAAAAATCAAAATAGTTTAAGATAAGTATTTGCTGCAGATTCGTATCTGCAATTAAAAGAAAGCCCTCATTCTGCTGCTGCTTTCCCCCAGTGCTGTATCTCATATCCTGTAGTTGGAGGGCTGTCAATACATTTTTTTTACTTACTATCATGGTGTGTTTTGGTCAGATGATCAGAATCCAGCGCATGATAGTACTCATAGATTGAGCGACCCAGGAGTTCCTCTGGCTCATACCCCATCAACTCTGTAATTCTTTAAAACAAGGGGAAAAATTGCTCAGTAAAAGCAGACATGGAGTAGCACAAATTCTAGAGCATTTGGATGCTTGCACATCTAGAAAAATCCTCAGAGTCACTTCCATACACATTAGCAGCAATTTTGGTTTACTAGAAGCTTTCATTTTGAAAAAAAAAAAAAAAAAAGCTATTTTTTGTGCTTCTTTAAAAGAGAGGCATAGGATTTTACTTCTCATTGAATATTTATAAATCATGTCCTGTGGTGGACAGGATTAAGTAAATCCCTGCTTCCTAGACTTTTTTTTTTCTTAAAGGTTGACCAGCTACTTATGGACTAGCATATCCAGCTTACACACATATGAGAATTTAATAAAATAAGAGACATGCTTCAACAGTTTTAAACCTGCAACTAAGAGAAATTAGGAATCAGATTTATTCTTCCCACTGTCAACCACTGCCAGCTTTTAAAGAAAACAGTACTTTCTTCAGCCCCCAGAGGGCAGCGCTAACCAGGGGAACACCTTTCTTTTGCCCTAGTCTACACGCAGAATGTGACCAAATAAGTACCTTTTTGTGACACCATCAGTCCTAGAAAGGTAAAGTTACTGCAGAGGACACAAAACCTGCACTAACATCTCTTTGCATCTAAACTGCAGCAACTAATTAAAGTTTGGTTTTGTTATAAAGAAAAGGAAACAGGCAGTAACAAATAATAACCAATTAAAAACACAAAAAAAAAACCCCAAACAAACAAAAACCACCCAAACAACAAAAAGAACTCAGGCCAATGGTTTCCTTCACTTTTGTTTTTCAAAGTTGTCAAGCTAAGTTTCCAGAGAATAGTAAGAACAGTCTTATGTATTTGACTACCTCCGTGATTTGTACCAGAACACAAAATCTCTTTTTTTTGACAGCAGATGCATTGTATTAACAGCACAACTCAACTTCTGGGGTTTTTTTGGACTAGCAAAAGCAGACACTGATCTCCTGAGGAAGGGAGAGGGGAAAGGGATAGCAATAAAATGCCTCTGACAATGATTATACACGCTCTCTTTTCAGTCACCAACATGCACCACCATCTTTGACAAATTCAAATCCTTCCTGTTTTTTCAGTGTCCAGAAGTACCTTCTCATTTCAATTTAATTGCTGCCACTACACTAAAGACCAGTTTGAACAGGCAGTTAACTGCAGGCAAAGGATATATTCCGAAGTAGTAACCCTGCACCCTCCTTAGATTTAAAAATCTGGCTTTTAAATAAGACGTCCTCATCAGTTAGTGAAAGCCAAAGCATCCCAGCAACGATTCCATTGCAGAGAGGACACGTAAGACTGCCTAAACGTATAAGGCCATCATTAGCCAACACGTACCAACCCTGCAAATCCTTCAAATGAATTTGTTTGTTAAGTACAAAATATATATTACCTTTCATCACAATAGGAAAATTTCATATCAAGACTGTGACGACTGAGGAACGTTTTACTGTCCAAGGGGACCTCAATGTTTGATGGATGAGGAATAGGTTCACAGATCAACACCAGACACGTCATGGGAGGCTTTTTGTAGCCACAGTGAGTTTGATTACCACATGTGTCGTATACACGAATGTGTCCAGTGCAGTGCAGTACCTACGGGAAAGTTGCATGTTAAAAAGAGCCCAGGTTCTTGTCTGTCAGACAACGCAATCGCATTTCCTTTAGCACACCCAGAGCGAAGTCCTTCCCCTCCCCACCCCTCGATGCGATAGCAACAACAGAAAGGCAGCGGCGCTTGCAATCGGGTGCTAAAGGAGAGCCGGGGTTCTCCTCCTCAGGCTACGCAGACTGCGATGAGTACACCGGCTGCCGGCTCTTTCCTCTTGGGCGCTGGCCGCGGCAACGCTAGACATCTCTGTGAACTGCTCTTCTTTGAAAGTTACACTAATGACGACACTGATAAGCAATTGTCTCAGTGAAAGGTATCTTACTACTTAAATTTGAAAGTTATGGTAATAGAAGCAACATCCATTTTAGATCTTCTGCAGAAGTGATGTTAGAGATCAAATATATTCTTCAAGAGACAAGAAGTTTTGCCTTTTGTGGGTTGTTTTTTTTAACCATTCTGAAGTAGGAATTGTTCAGAGACAGAAGCAAAGAAGAAAGAAGTTGTTTGATCCAGAATAACTAAATTTCAGTTATAAAAGAGAATTGTGAGCCGTAATACCACTCGATACAGTAAAAGGTTACTTTTTGTCCAGAGGAGAAAATGCATTCACTGCAGAAAGTTATCAGGCTGGGCTCTTTTTGTTCCAACTGTTACAAAAGGGACAGCCAGCAGCTTCAGAAAGAATGGTATTGAAGTCCTTCAGAGAGACCTCAACCGTCACATTTACAGTGTCAATCAAAAGAAATCGCGTATCAGCATAAGTGGTGTCAAGTGTTCTTTTTCTCAGAGGAGAAGGCTTTATGCAAACATATTTAGTAATTATAATTTCTAGTAATTATAATTTCTAGTAAGCAAATGACCTCTAATTGAAAATGGAGAATTAATTAAGAGTTTTGAAAAACTAATTTTAAAACATTGTTTCAGTTACCTCCATGATGTATTCAGCATTAAAATTCAAGCATATTGAAGCACAATCATTAAATTAGTTCAGTACTTAGTGAAACTCAAGCTCGTTACATTAAGTAAAAATGTTGAAATATAGTGTTATGACATCTGAAGAGGAAGCTGCTGAACTGCATAAATATTGCTTTGCATTTAGTTACCTTCCATGTAGCAGACTTTATGTTCACTGTTCTTCCCCTGCTAGTCAGTGTACACTTCATTCTGAGAAAAAAGCTGCGCTCCGTGTTTTGCTCTTTGCCCTTTTTCACAGGACCTAGCAAAAGCAAATAGTAAACCAATTCTTAAGCTCTTGGATCATCTTCTAAAGGTGTAAGCCCCCCACCATGTTACAGAACTCTAAGACTAGGGGAGGACCCCCCCAAAAATTAAAAAGATTGTTAAACCTGACAGCACTTTTGATAATAACCTTTTTCAGAATGAGTTTTACTGTGAGGTAGACAAAAACTGAAGTTTCAATGTTTTAAGATCAGTATCATATTTGTAGCCAACTCCACACGCCCAGATTTCAGGAAAAAGGAGTGGGGAGAAAAAGAGTGTGATTAAAAATTTTATGTATTTTAAAATTGCGACAGAGGACAAGAAAAGCATGTGCAGAACAGGAAGTAATGTTGAGTGGTTTCCATTGAAATGCATCAGTAACTCGCTGCAGGAAGGTTCAAATCAAATACGTTTTGGGCCCGTAGCTCTTCAGGACTGCAGTATTTTATGTTTTTCAATGCAAAATTAACAACTCTGCTGTTTACATGCATCCGAGTATTTCCAGTGATTTACACTCTTAGAATAAACAGGGACCAAGTTTTTAAACACATTATTAGTGTTCTTGGGGGGGCAGGGGGGAGGAGTAAAGAAATCCTAATACAAATTAATATTGGTGACACTAATTTTTTAGCCTTACTGGCTAACAGCAGGCTTTTAGTTAAGTTTTTGCCTTTACAGGGGAGAACCTTTTGGAGTCAATTACTAGCTAGGCTATTCTGAGCAAAGAAAATGCAAACTGATCCTATCAGGAGACCTGCAAGCAGCTCACTGTGTGTGGAAGAAGGAAATAAAGCACCTCAGTTTGCACCTAGGAGCAGTGGAAGAGTGAGTTTGCCAAGGAGTGCTAAGGAGCGAGGACCAAACCATGGCAGAGGGCAGAAGTTTAGAACCCGTGAACTTACTTCTGATACAGGTTAATACAATAATTTGTTCTCCCCCTCCACAGACAATAGTAGCTATGAAAATCTTCATGGTGGCTTGCACTGCAACTACTGGTTTGATAATATTCATTAGAAAAACGTTAAAGCCCCTGTGCTTTATATTGTCTATTGCTTCTAGCAGAGGCAAAGACTAACAGGGACAAGCCTACTTCACGCCATGTCAAAATACCCTCAATAAAGGAGGATGGGGGAGGAGGGGGAACCCAGAGTTTGGAGAAACAGCCCAAACTTATTTAATTCAATATGTTTTTAGAAGAGTTAAACCAATCTAGAAATTCTCTAGCTGAAGATCAGACAGCTTTACTGTTACCAAGTCCTGATGCTTAAGGCTCTGCTTTAAGAAGCAACTATAAAAGATGGAGCAACTTTCTCAGGTCTGATTCAGCACTGGACATTATTTTTAAAACTGCCAGCTTTTAAAGTTTAAAAAGCAACTTCATAAAATCAGAACGCAGTTCAGTTTCCACCAATTACATTTATATTAATTTGCACCAGTACAATCCCAAAGGGGAGTATTTAATACTCAATTCAAAACCAAAATAATTCCAGTGATGCAAGAGCTGCAGTAGAATGCAACCTGGGAATACTAATAAATATAAAAATATACTATTATTACTGTAATTCAGACCTTTGTCTGCCAACTCCATTTGCAAAACAGATTTTGTAATAGTGCTTTCCAGACATCTTATTCCAGTCCGGTCAATTTAGACATTAGTTAGAGTTGGTTTGCATGAAACTCAGTAATATGACATTTTTAAGAATAAGCTTCTGCAACAAGACCAGTTTTTACACTGCCTTAGTGAAGTTGTTTCCCCCCCCCCCCCCAGATGCATTACTGTATTCCAAAGGTGGGGGGGGGGGGGGTACTCTAATCTAGCCTTAGAAATGTACTTCAATACTAAGGCAGGCAAGTTTAGAAAATGCTTACAAAATCAAGTCGGGGCCCTTAATGTTATGGTATCTTATCAGGTCTCTTCCACTGAATTAAACAGAATGACAACGTAAGAGACTTCTGATGTACAGTGCTACACGAAAGCAGAGGTCAGGCTTGGTAATTTATCACTACCTAGATTCAGAGTCCATATAACCCTCGTTTGATGAAACAGGGATTAGAGAGTCGGATTTTAGACTTCTAACAACTGAGTAAAGCAGATTTGTTTGGAGGCATGCAGGCTGCCAAGCCTTTACAGTCATTAACAAACCTTTAGAAGACATAAAAGCAGTAATTCATGGGCATTTGTTAAATTCAAAAGCATACAGAGCATGTGAACACGGTGTTCCCCTCAGACAGAGAAGAGTCAGAAATCTGTGAAAAGATACCAATTTCATGCACCAATTAGAAGATGCAGAGAAGCATCAATCCCAAAGCCCTTTTTGGGGCTGTCCAAGTATTCCCCAATTAGTTTTTCAGTGTCCTAAATATAGTATCTTTTTTCTGTCTTAAGTACACCATCACAGATTTCTGGAAGAAAGCATTTGCTTTTAAGTTGTCCTGTAAAGGCAAGCCCAGACTAAGACAAACGCACCAATTTAACTTCTCTGTATCCTTCTATGGCAACCGCTTAAGACCATTCTCATTCAACCTACCTCTAATTTTATTCCTGTAGGCACACTAATTCTTTCCACCCTCAGTAACTCCATTTTAGTCATTAATTTTGTTTTTGATTAAAGAGTACTAACGAAGTCTCAGGTCTCCTACAATTAGGATATTGCCAAAACATTTTGGTTATTTCTGCTGTTCGTATCTCCGAACGAGGTCTATTTTGAGATTTAAGCTGCAAATCATACTAGTTTTCTCTCTCAACACCTTTTTCTGGCAGATATCCAACTGTACTAATGCTGACAGGAACTATCCATAAGTAAATTAAATCAATTTTTTCTTCTCACCATTTCTGTGTGTAAGCATTTCTCTCAGCTCTTCATGGTCACATGGATGAGTGAAATCAAATACACTGTGCCCCGTCAACTCAAACTGCAAAAAAGTAAGAGGTACACGGGTGTCTAACTTTACATATACAAAAATGTAACAACTTTCACAGATTTGAAAGTCTTAGGAAATGTCAGTATTTCACCTGAGTGAGTCCCATACACTTGTTCACGTTTTCAGACATGTAAATCATGTCCCCATCTTCAGACAGAACCATGACAAATCCATCAAGAGCTTTCAAGTAGAAACAGTTCAGTTCCTTCTCCATTTTGGCCTCTGTCTCCAGCTCACCTACGAGCAGTCACACATTTTCATGTAATTAAACATCAGCCGTTCTTCACTTACCATCAAGAATGCCTTCTGACACCAGTCTGCAAGGAGTCAGTCTTGCAGGACTATTCAAAACCAGTATAATTCACTTAGATAAGTGATCAGTTAAATTCTTCAAGCTCTAGTAATGGTATCATAAGTCACAGAAAATCAGAGTGAGGTTAAACCTCTGTGTTTTTATGCATAAACCAATAAAACTTACACCTTAAGGAGAAAGTCTACATGGCAAAAATATTACCATTTATCTCCATAAGGCATTACAGACACTTCTCAGGGGCTTCCCAGGAGGCATTTCAGAGTATGGCTACCAAAGTTACTCCTTCCATATGGTATAGGTAGGCATACATGAGTACAAATAACCAGTACAGCATCCATGGCATGCTATACAACACTGGTTCATAAGCTAACTCAGATACTCCTGTGGTTGCATGGAAAGGTGTACTGCAGAGACAAGACATATCCTCAGCTAACTTCACCTTCAGTGGGGTACAAATTACAAAAAATTTCCTTGCCGTTTGTATTAAGGAGAAACACCTACAGTTAGCTAAGGCAGCCTTGCACCAACCAGCTACAGTTTAGTAAAGCACAGCTGCAGCAACCAAACCCGGGGGAAAAAAAGAGGGTTAAATGAAAGAAATTAACTTTGGGAGAAGGGTCAAATAGCTGAGACTGAAAATGGCACTACGGCTGTGATGAGCCAACTGGGATCATCAGAACAGAAAGGGGAAAAAAAAAGTCCATTGAACAGTGGCCATATTTTTCCTGTGCCATTGCCTAGTTCTACTGTAAGGTCTTCCACTTTTCCATAGAAAAGATGCAACTATTAATGTATTTATTTATTTATTTAACTGCCGATAAGTTTGAGAAACAGCTTCTTCCTCAATATGCCTCCAGCCCCTTTTCCAGACTCTGCTACGTTATTCGCTTACCAGCATCTAGCAGCTTTCTCATGCGCAAGTAGCTGATGGTCAGTCTCATAATGGACGCCTTGTCCAGGTGTGCACTCACGGTGTGGGGCAGGGGCAGCTGATGAGCAAGCTCGTAGAATACTTCTGACTCCTTGCTCCTTCGGCACCGGGCTGCATCTCTCGACTTCTCTTTTCTGCGTTCCGAGCTAATCCTATGTAAAGAAAGTCTGGGGTTAATATAGAAAACAAGAGTTCTCTGGGCAAGTTAAATTTGATGCTAAGCTGCCCAGTAGTCAATTAACCAGTTATCGAAGTTGAATAATTTAAAATCTCAGTTTAAAAGTGCAAATGTAATTCTGTGTATAGAGTTCTACCATGGTTGTGCTCTGCCAGAACCAAGTTGAAACCCACAGTGTCTTCCAACAAGATCAGTTCTTCAGAACAGCTCTTCAAGTGCTTATCTCATACCCTGACTGCTGCCTCTCTAGCCTCCAAATCCCACTTCCCTCCTGTTTCCTAACCCTTAAGTCCATTCAAAATACTAGAGCTCAAGTTATTTCCAGCTCAATGCTCAAGTAGTATCATGTACACTCTCCAAGTTCTTCCCTTTTTACCATCCTTACAAAGCCCACCTAATGGTCAGATAAGCAACGATATTGATTTAGCATGAGGTGTCCTGCTTTTCAAGTGACCCAAAAAGTCCCTTTCCCAGCTCTCTTTCTCCAAGATAGCCCCTTCCATAGTCTCCCCTATACTGGAAAACTCCAGCTGTTAGGAAGTTGCCTCATTCTCCTTCCATTGCCTGTGTTAAGACTCGCCTCCCCCAGGACGCATGAAGTAAAGGACAGCTCACTAAGAGCAAGCACCGAAACAACCGAGGCTCTCCGTCAGTCAGTAACACAGGTAATCCTCCCTTTTCCCAGTACCTACACCAGTTCACGTTCGCCTCATGCACCTGTCACGTGAGTTTTGAACTAAGCATTTTGAGACAGGAGCTCCAAATTTTTCTTACATTTGAACAAGAACTCAATGCTGCTGTGGTCCCCAAGGAAATTATGCCATGCAGTTAAATGTGCTTTTATTTTTAAATGGACGATACAAAAGCATACGGTATTATTTTCCATTTTTCTTTTTATACATGTACGTCTTCTGCAGATACCCTGTCTTCATTTTGCATACACCTGAGATACAAAAGGCAGCTGCACTAATCTGTAGGATCCCATTTTTTCTATTGACTTACATGAAAGCTGCAAGATAAACATATGCCTATAAACACTGCTTTTATAATTCAAAGTTGCATGCCTTTTAATGTTAGCATAAAGAGATTAAGTGTCACTAGTTGAAAAGGACAGATAATAAACCACTGCATTATTTACTACCAACAGTTTAGGAATTATTTTTGTCAAATTTCACTAGACTTCAGAGTCGCGTACTACCACTGCCAAATTCAAGTTGCTAAGTCTGCAGATCTGTGCAAAACCACTTTCTAATTAGCCCACATCTTGTGAGAGGTACCACCAATGACAGAGGAAAACTATTCACAAGCTGATATTGCCTGGGAAATAACAAACCAGATTCAAAGCAAGCAGTCAAATACATACCCAAAGGAACACCTTTTCAGTCCTGTACCTGATGTGCTACCCAAATAGCCAAAAACCTCCTTAGTTTGTGCAGAAACACACGAGCAACAATACCATTAAGACTGATGTTGGAACCGTGAATGCCTTGAAACACAGAAGTTTAATAAGCTCTGATAAAGACAAAGTAAGCCACCAGAATTTATTCTGTGATTATCTTCATTTTTTCCAACTTCATAAAGCTGTACGGCATCCCCATCCATCCCCACTCCCACCATCCTCTCCTCCTACCCCCTGCCAGCAGAAGGAAGCACTAGAAGCTTGATTTTCAGAATTGTCAGTTTTATAAGAGCTAAGAACAGGATTATGTTTTCTCCTTTGGTGGCAAAATCAGGTTACTAGATCACAGAAATACTATTTCTATTAACAAGTGAACAAAATATTAATGGGGATCTTCGGAAAACTATCTTAGGGGTGTTAGAGTAGTAAAAAAATTCTGGACATTCAACAGTTCTGTTTCTGTGAATGTAAGCTCGCATCCCTCAGAAGGGTAGCCCAAGATATCCGATAGTATTTCCCATCCTGCAGACTTTTTCACATGCAGTTTCCCTGCGACAGTAGATGTGCCTGCTCTAGTCAGGGAGACCTTGGTCTGAGAAGCTTGAGGCTCCTGACATACAGGTATATCTGGAAACACCCAGCATGCGAAGTCTGACCTCCAACAACACTGAAATATTTTAGCTACACAAACCTGATTGATTAAACGTGTCTTACTGAAGACAGGCCTCGGATACCTTTTCTCTTAGTGGAAAACTAAGGGTGGAGGTGAAAACCCATCTGGATTCTCTTTGTCCTCTTTCTTGGACCACAGATTTCACTGACAAAGGTAAAACAAGTAATTATGCTGCCTTAGACAGATTCACTTTTATATCTCCGATTTTCCTTTGTTAGCCAAGATCCCTTCACCTGCAGAAATTTCCTCCTTACAATAGAAACTCAAGGGACTATTACTGGAAGTAATTGGTTTCCATCTGCCTAGATGCCTGCAGTTTTTATCATGGCTTCCTTCCCAACGGCAGACACTCTTAAGCTAAAACCCCCACGCTTTGGCAATAAAGCTGTGCACTTCAAGTCTTCCAGCAAAAGATGAAACCAGACACTAACTCCACAAGGCGCGATTTCAGCCCTTTCCTTTGTATTTCCTTTCTGAAAGCTTCGTGATCATGAAAATACTTCAGCCAGTTTCTAGAGTTTTGCCTGGTTTTAGCACGCTTAGCAGCAGACTTCAACATAAACAGTCAAAACTTCTCACGACCATTGAATTATGGATTCCTGACTGAAGCGCTGCTCAAATCAAGCTCATAGTGCTTCTGTTAAAAATTAATCCTGGAGTAAGACAATCAAGTGCTGCCTGCTGGAATGCTGCCTGACTTTGCGATGGGCAAAACTCAAGGAAAAGCGCATCCTTGGCACCAACCGGTGCTGCCCGAGCGGCAGTCTCCTCTCCCTCTCGTTTTCCTTTCTAGAAAGGCTACTACTGTAGATAGATACTTAAACTGTACAGCACAACAGTTTGCTAATTTTAGCTGCTGTTTAAAACTAAGCTGTAACCAATCTGAGTAAAACCCAGCAATTTAAATAGGGAGATTAACTACCAGCTTCAAAGAGCGTTTCTTTAATGGATCAAATTAATAGGGAAAAGGTCTTTCACAAATGAGGTTTAATTACCAAGTGAAGTCAGAGTTGCCTCAATGAGGGATGCCACCAAATAAAGAGAAAGCCAAAAAAAAAAAAAAAATCCTTTACTGTTGCAGCTACTCTAAGCTTTGTTACTTACAGTTGCATAGGGTAAATGAAAAACCACACAATCGGTATGTGCAGCTGCCCACAAATTTCTGTGTAGTCAATTAAAGCATGCTGAATTCCTGTAAAGAAAATATATTTCCTAAGTGAGCTCTCTCTCAACTAGGGGGAAAAAAAGGGGAGCTCAAGGAAGAGGACTTTAAACAGTGAGATGTGAACCGCCACACAATCAGCTTAAATCGTTTAAGAGAGATTTTCAGAACTGCCCATGTGTAAAACTCATGGTCTTCACAACAGAAAATACCATTCTGTAGAGACAACAGGAACCCAAGCTCCACTTAAAACGAACCCCAAACTGAAGAGCTGTATCGCAACCTTCCGCCATCAGTCCTGCACGAAAGACAAACACCTAGAGACTCAGAAGAAAATCTCAGCTGAGGAGTGGATTTTACGTGCAATGAAAATACCAGAAATGCCGGTGCTGGGCAGGAAATTGCATGCATTTTCAGGTATGATGTTTCCTGTACAATTTCAGTGCCAGACATTAATTTCCATTTTGTATTTCTGCCACCAGAATACAGAAGCAGAGCACAATCCAGAGCAGGGTATGCATCTTGGCTCACCAAAAGCAGTGTTTCACCAACAGTTTTAAACCCAATACTAGACACTTTTTCTATGTAAGACATGTTTATGTGCTATAGCCAAATAAACACCTGAGTTCCAAAAGATATTAGAGTTAGAGACCCAGAGTAAAAAGGTATCTCACCACCAGGATTCACTGCAGCTGAACCGAGAGCTCGATCGAAGGGTATTACCCAGGCTCCCACTCACTGCCTCAAATCAAGAAGGCTTTAAGATACAGCTTTAAGATACAGCAAGGTGAATATAAACAAAGTTTTACAGCAAGCAAGAATTGGCCCAACAGCCTTCCGAACAAAGCACACCAGCAGCACTCCCATGTGCACTGGTTACAAATGTTAACATGGCCTCTCTACTCAAACGCGCAACGCCTCTCATTGCCATGACATGAACCATTTGGGCCAGAGCGTGTCTCAAACGAGACGTTGTTCCCCGTACCATCCCAAAGACCCCTCTGCCCACCGCTGCGTATTTCTACAAGGGATTCCCCAATTGTCTAAATACAGCCCACGGTCTTCATCTCCTTGAGCATAAAACAAGCCAATGGCCACATTTAAAGCTGACTTGTTCCTGCTTATTTACCACTGGCAAATTAGACCAAAAAGAACCCCGGAGAATACCATCAGTAACTGATAAATTCCAATTAAAAACAAGTAGAGTAAAAAACAGTCAGCGGACAGATCTTAAAACATGTAGCATGTCAACTCTGTCTCCTAGCTTTCTAATTCACCACCCAGTGTTAAGGAAAATTTTGTATTGTCTACACCATATTACATTAATGTAAGAAATAGGGGGTTTTCTGTATGTTGCTTTATGGCTGTTACCTGTTTTCTAGCCTTTCTCCCCACTCTTAACTTACTGTTTCTCTAATCAGTAAGATTTTGCCCTATAGGTCTTTTCCATTCCCATATAAAATAGCTATTGTGCATGTATTAATCCAGGTTTTGAGAACATTCTAAAAAAAATCATGAACATCCGATAGCAATTCACATTTTTCTTTTTAGAGTTGTTTTCTACTATCGAGTGGCTTTGTACTTATCACGGTATCTGTTCTTAAACAGTTTCATAGAAGTATACCATGTGGAAACAATATAATTCAAATGAATAATGTGTTTCAAATCTCATTATTGAACTTTTAACAGTTCTGCCATTAATTCCCATCATTTGCCAGTACAAGATTCACACTTAATAT